GGAGTGCTTCTCACAAATCCACTCCACCCTAGCCAACATGCTTACCAGAAAGCAAAATCAACAATTACCGCTCTCCATGCTTTGACTAGCACCTTAGAGGAGGCAATTGCAACCAAAGAGATAGCCCTTTGTGCTTTCATAGATATAGAGGGTGCGTTTGATAACACCTCATATGAATCCATAGAGAAGGCTTTAAACGTAAAAGACATACATCCGTCGACAATCAAGTGGTGTATAGCCATGTTGAAAAGTCGGCAGATCACAGCCAGTCTGGGAGGCGAGTCGCTGACTATAAAGGCGCTAAGAGGATGTCCCCAAGGGGGAGTGCTATCACCTCTATTATGGTGCCTAGTAGTTGATGACTTGATGAACACCCTAACTAAAAATAGATTTAAGATACAAGGGTATGCTGATGACCTGGTAATCACAATCCGAGGTAAATATGATTCAATCATATCTCAGCTAATGCAGAAAGCTCTACTTCTCACCAGTACTTGGTGCAGAAGCAATGGGCTCAGCATCAATCCCAATAAAATCGAAATAGTCCCTTTCACTCGGAGAAGGAAGCTACAAATAAAAGCACCCTCCATTGAAAGCAGAACTATTAACCTCAAAACAGAAACTAAATACCTAGGGGTAATACTTGACAGTAAACTAAACTGGAACTCACACTTAGATAAGGTGAGGAAAAAGGCCATCATGGCAAACCAGATCTGCCGCAGGCTCCTAGGAAGGAACTGGGGTCTCAAACCACGAATGGCTCATTGGGCCTACGTAGCAATAATCAGACCCATGGTCGCCTACGCCTCATTGGTTTGGTGGCCAAAAACAAAACATAAGACAGCTCAACAACAGCTGGCACAAATCCAGCGGTTAGCATGTCTTAACATAACGGGTGCAATGAGATCCTGTCCGACGGCTGCTTTGGAAGCCCTACTCGGTCTCACACCGCTCCACATATATATACAAAAGGAGGCAGCCTTAAGTGCCTTATCACTGAAAACAGTTTCTTCACTCAAGTTGATGCAGGGTAACCTCAGAGGACACCTCGAGATCCTCAAAGACCCATGTCTAAATCACCTGATTGAAATTAAAACGGACCTTATACCGACGGAATACAATTTCAACCAACCGTATAAGGTCATATTTAGTAGCAGGGATGATTGGGCGAAAGGAGGGCCTCAACTAAAAAGAGGAGCCCTAGCCTGGTACACCGATGCTTCAAAGACAGTAAGATCTGGAGTAGGCATGGGCATCAGTGGACCAAATAGCCACATCAAATTGCCCCTCAGCTCGGACTTAACAATTTTCCAAGCAGAAGTTCTTGCTATAAACTTCTGCACCGCTTTGAACCTACAGAAGGGACAAAAAGGTGCATCCATAAACATTTTCACAGACAGTCGGGCCGCCTTAAAGGCAATTCAGGCCTACACGTGTGGCTCCGCACTGATCAGAGAGTGCACCAACAACCTGAGAGAACTCGCTAGGGGCAATGATGTTACCCTATGGTGGGTTCCAGGTCACAGCAACATTGAGGGCAATGAGAAGGCCGACAAGCTGGCCAAAGAGGCAGCAAACACGCCCTTCATTGGACCCCAACCTGGATGTGGACTACAAAAAAGCCACCTAAAACAAATAATCAACAACTGGGAGGCTTCAAAGATAGCCTTACGCTGGAAAGAACTTCCAGGTCACAGACAAGCGAAGAGTATGATAACTCCGTCGCAAAACAAAACCAAAGAGGTTTTATGCCTCAGCAAAGGGGATCTAAGAACGCTCTCAGGCTACCTAACCGGCCATGTGCCCCTAAAATACCACCTCTTCCACATTGGACAAGCTGAGGATCAAACTTGTCGACTATGCAACGACGAGTCAGAAACTGCTGAACATATACTGTGCAATTGCGTCGCCAGAGGACGTCTAAGGCACAACGTCTTCGGTAAAACTCCCCTGTTACCTACCGACATAAAGGTTCAAGACCTCAGGACAATACTAAGGTTCATTAAGGACCTACATTTGCCCTAAACCTTTGGAGGGCTAAAGTTACAATAGATCTTATAGGTCGCGGTAACGAGAGGGGCCGCCCTCCTCAGCCCGGCAGCAATAATAATAATAATAATGGTATAAAAGAAAACCAAATGTTGAAGATTTAAGAATTTTTGGAGTAACTGCATATGCCCATATTCCTAAGGAACTGAGACAAAAATTTGAGCCAACATCTGATAAATGTATAATGATAGGATGCACAACTACTGGATATAGATTATGGAGTTTAGAAAAAGAAAAAGTAATAGTTTCAAGATGTGTTATTTTTAATGAAGAAGAATTTTATTATGAAAGTAAGTCAAAATAAAACCCTGTCCTAATGTTTGGAACAAGACCAGATATAAGTAAATTATTTCAGCAGGTTTTAAGATAGAAATTACAAGGAAGTGTGGAAACATTTTAAAAAAATGATGAGATATTTAAAGGGGACAATAAATTTGAATTGGTTTACAAAAGAGATAATAATGCTTTACCATTTGGTTGCTATGTTGATTCGGACTGGGGTGGAGATTATCATGACAAAAAATCAATTAATGGTTATTTAATTAAAATTTATGAGAATACAGTGCTGTGGGTTACTAAAAAACAAAATTGTGTAGCCTGAACTGATTATTAATTAGTTTTTTCCGACTTATATATAGTTACCGATTTTTTGATCTCGTCACTTCGAACCAGTTTCTGAAGAAGGTTGCAACATGGCATCCGAAACGTCAAACCTTTTATTAAAAGACGCACGGCAAAACCCGAAAGTTTCTAGTGTTAGTTCTAGTTTTAGTTCTAATCTTAGTTTAATTCACACCGGCCGTGAAAGCCTTCGTACTTATAATATTAATATAGTTATGGAAACATAAAATAAATAAAAAATGTGTTGTAAATAAAATTGTTACACGAAAAGGTTTTCTTAGTTTTACTTAATAAAACATCAAGTATTGAAATGTAGAGATTATCTTACCTGCTCTATGTCCCAATAATGTAACAGCTTTTGGATTCCCTCCGAAATGTTCAATATTCAATTGAACCCATTTCAAAGCGACCATAATGTCTGACAAGGCATAATTTCCCCCAATACCCGGATATTCCCTCAATCCTTTTGCAGTTAAAAATCCAAGAACTCCTAATCGAAAGTTTGGCCGAACAAAAACCACATCTTTTGAACGGGCATATCTGGTGGATGGTCTCATTTTTCCTGGAGAAGCACCCGTTAAAGTTTCCGCTCCGATCAAAACGATGACCGGCAAAGGATTATGGTAGCGAACGTATGGCGTGACCACATCCAATGTTAAACAATCTTCAATTCCGATTATGGTGCCATTGTCTAACATTTGTAAACAAGGTGGAGTTGCATTGTGAACTTTTAATGTGTCATTCCAGCAGTAATCGATATTATTGAGTGGTTGGGCTGGTTTGAAACGGAGATTATTAAGGGGTGGACGAGCATAGGGGATTCCTCGAAAAGCTACTGCGTCATCATGGTGAATTCTGTAAATAAAAATGATCTAGAATGACCTACACTCAATATGCCGAATTCTTATAATTAAATTTCTGAACTAAACACAAAATAAAATTTTTGGACGTATTCAAGTCCATCCACTTGTTAATGAATTAGCTACAAGTCAGATACAAGATTGATCGTCAATTAGTTTTAGAATAACAAATTTAAGATTTTAAAAGAACTCGTGTTTTAAAATTTTCATCAGTTCATCATTCAGAGTTTTCATCCAAACCCAAATAGGTTTAAATACCTGAACTTGTGATAGACCTCAGAGCAACAGTTGCTGTTCATTCAGATACATGCCATGATGACATACACAAGATTAAACAATTTTTCTATATTCTGGGTGAGCAAACTGAAGTTTGTGCTAGAAAGGTTGCAGAATTCGGCAGGTATTTAAATTTTTGAGTGAAGTGCAGTTCTTTTAAAAATTCACATCTCTGATTGAGAGATTCAGAATTTAATCGTAAACTTGCCATAATAAAAGAGATACATTACGTCATGGTTATAGAGTGCACGCATAATGTATGGAAACATGAAAAAATCTTTTTAATGGCTTGATGAATTTGAAGAAAAATTTGTGTGTATTGTTTAGATTACCTTGCGAATTCAAATTTTCTATCTTTAATGTTGGAAAATTTATAGTTTCCGAGATAAAATTATAACACCTTTTTGTTTAATGAGATACTGTATATTTTTAAATTTTATAAGAAATATTTTTATTATCTATTCAGTGTATAATATTTGCATACCTAGGTTTGTAAATCTAATTGCTTAGATATTACGATTTTGCAATTTTTATACCCTCGACAAATGAGAGTACCATGAAAGAACCATAAATGTGAAACAGAAACAAAGTACAACGGTTGAAAAGTATGTGGGCGAAAGTCAACAAAGACATCAATCGAAAGGAATCAAGATAAAGAAGACCGCAAATTCGTACGAAGACTGTCGGGCACTCAGGTTATGAGCAAGTCCAACGCGTCATGGCACTGTTGAGAACTGACTAAGGGTAAGTTAAATAATGCTAAAAACGGTCAAAATGGATTCAAGAGCTATCAAAACGTAAAAATTCATCAAAATCTAGAAAACGGATGTTTTTATGATTGAATAACATGTTTATTTTTAATTTTTCTTATTAGAAATATATTTTATGTTTATTTTTTTGTGTTGTATCAATAAAAACAAGAAAAACACCCTTCATTTGAAAAAATTTGGGGGATGACACCTCCTCTTAGGAGGGTAAAGTTTGGGGTATAATTGAAAGCCTGAGAAACAAACTTGACGTGTTTCATGTTATTTCAATAAATTTTTTTCCTGGCAGTTATACCCTTCAGCTCCATTTCAATGGGTCACCTGTATGTATTTTATTTTAGTTGTTAATATACTTACCCTTCGACTTTTCCACAAGTTGTAATTGCTTGGACGGCATTTCCTTCAATATTAACAGGCGAAAGGGTGATAGTGTCTCCTATGGTGAAAAAGACAATTGCGCTCACAATGATGAGGAAAATCACTAAGGCACCTGAAAATCAACATAAAAATTGATTATTGTAAACATACGGTGTCAGACACCAGGTGATTAAAATATTCTAAACAGCAGTGGGAATAAAGGGCAGTTTTGGTAATATTAGAGCGGAGTAGTTTTAAATTATTGCGTTTTCCGAATTCTAAGACCAGAGTATATAACTGGGTTTCAAAAGAAATGAACCACCCCGAAGGAGACGCAGAACTTCAAAATTACGTAGAAATAGTTAGTGCCTAGAGACAAACAAATGATTAAATTTTTATAAACAAATGACAATATTTATTGACAATGCGTACTCTTATACATTCAGTAACGCTTCGTGGCATGCTGGAAATCAGATGGTCGAATGCCTCTTGGGGCAGCTCATTCCAGGCTACCTGTAGCTATTGACGTAATTCCTCTAAATTGTTGGGAGGATGGGGTAAACGACGCAATTTTCTGTCCATCATATCCCAGACATGTTCAATAGGGTTTAAGGCCGGGGATCTTGCCGGCCAAGGCAATTGCAGACATTGTTTTGTGATAGGAACTCTAACGTTACGTGAGCAATATGAGGTCGCGCATTATCGTGTTGGAAGACGGGCTCTGGAAGGTCTTGGAGGAAAGGCGCTAACACGGGCTCCAGAATGGCGTCAATGTAACGGCGCGCGTTTAGGGTGCCCTGAATGAATGTCAAAGGAGACCTGCCACCGTAGCGTATTGCTCCCCACAGCATTACAATAGGAGTTTGAGATGTGTGGCGACGCTAAACAAACTGTAAATTTTGCCTCTGAGCTCTAGGTCGTCTAATCCGCAAACGTCCGTCAGAATTCCATAAGCAAAATCGGGATTAGTCGCTGAAGACGATAGTTTCCAATTCATGTTCCCAATGTTGTCGGTTTTGGCTCCACTGCAGTCTGGCATCTTTATGTTGTTGAGTCATAGGAAGACGAAAATAAGGACGATATGAACGTAACCCAAATGTGCGTAATCGACGATAAATCGTACTCATAGACACTCTGCGACCAATTGCTCGTATCCAATTGATTGCAACAGCACGCGTTGGTTCTACTGGGTCTTGTATTGCACTTCGCCTTAACAGCCGATCTTCGCGTGCTGCTGTCACTCTAGGACGTCCACTGCCTCTACGACGGGTTTCTAAGCGTTCTTCCTGCCAATCCATCCAAGTCCGTCTGATTGTGGCGTGAGGTCGGCCCATGCGTCTGCCAATTTCCCGAAAGCTTAAACTAGCCTTATGCATCCCGATAATTCGTCCTCTTTCGAAGGGATTAAGATGGCGAAAATTTGCACGTCTTCGAACTCGTGGCATTTTTGAGACACTAACTTTACTAATGCAATGACAACAATCACAAACAAACGGCGAACTACTCCGAAAAATACTATTCAACAACACGCAATTTCAGGACCTAACAGACAGATAATTTCTATCAGCTGTGGCAGATGACAGTCAAAATTTAATCATTTGTTTGTCTACATGGATTAACTGATTCTACATAATTTCAAAGTTCTTCGCCTACTCCTACGGGGTGAAAATTAAAGTTGAAATAATGTATCCAAAATTTTTATGAATTAAAAAAAAGATATGTTACGTAAATTGTTTCTTAAACTCAACTTAACAAGTGTCTTTAGAGTATATCTCTCTAAAGACACTTACAAGCCAACAACACAACTTACGAGGGAAGTAACACAACTATGGCGCACCGATTTCGATGAAATTTGGTACAGGCATAAAATGGATCAAAATAAGCTTTACGTATTTTTTTATACGTGCGGTAAAAGCACCTAAGCCAAGTTTTAAGGGTTGAAAGTTTGGGGAAACATTTTTGCCTATATTTAGAAAACGTAAAGTGCGAAAAGTGAAAGGTTAAACGAAATTTAAACTGATGATCATTTTTAATAAGCTTTCATTTGATGTATCACACATATACCACGGGGTGAAAAGGGGCGAACTACCCTTATTTTTTCGGGTTTATTTAAAAACCACCCTATCGATTTTGATGGCGTTAAATATGCTTGTAGTGCATTCAAAAATATTAGTTAAGTGTTTTCTTCTGTCTCATTCGTCGTAGATCAACCCCAGCGAAGTGGTTAACATGTAACCACTTTTCGAAAGAATGATGTGATAAAACTGTCAGGTATTTTGAATAATGATTTACGTAACCAGTTATGATGGGGGCGAGGGTGCGGTGAATCCTAGGTAGGCTTGTCCTACTTGTTTTGCCGTACTCAGGGTTCTTGTTTTATGACCTGAAACAGGACAGACACTGCAGCTTTACTGCTCCTTCACGAGGTACCCTTGTACCATACCAAAAGTGTCGGATCTGGACTTGCCAGTCAATAAACAGCCCTCCCGCCCAGCTGTCGTCGCGTGGCTTAGGGCTTGCATGGGAGACAACGTGGCCGGGGACGACTGACAGTCGAAACCGTTATACCATGCATGCCTATTGTTTGAGGATCTGCTCCACGGGCAGGGCATGCGGGAATCTTGGCTTAATTGCCTGGGTTAAGAGAAGACAACCTCATTAAAAACCTCAAAGTGAATGTGGAACAGCTTATGCAGAGCACTTTAGGCTGTCACCTGACGGTCTAGTCATCCGGGAAGTGATGGGTGCTAATAAGCGGACTCTGGAGGCCTGTCGACCTTCAGTTTCAATAGGCTTATCGGGGTTTGGGAGCATTGTGATGGAAAATAAAGTATTTGTAGTTGGCGAATATTGCACAATTCAAATTCGCCAATTCAACAAATAAATTGTGTTTGATTTTAGATTGGTAATTAGAAGTAAGTTAAACTTAGAACTGTAATGTAGTCGTCGTAAGATTAAATGAAGAAAGTAAAGAAATAAGTTATTTTAAATAAATTACACTCCAAACCCATAAAATAATCATACAGAAAATGAAAAGAAGAGCTTAAACATTACAGCACTGCCTCGATGGACCAACCTTTCTGCCCTACTCGTGGGATTAGTATGGAGACGCCCAGTAAGAATAAAACCCTAGACGAGGGGAGGATAAACCTCGATCCTGAAAAGGAAACTGAAAAGATGGAGGATAGTCTTCCATCACAATCTAAACTAAAATTCTATGGTAGCCGAACCGTCCGCGCCCAAGTCAACTTCTCGCTCTCTGGAAGAGGAGCAGGTTCTTCTGCACTCTGAAAGGGAGGAAGATGAAGAGGAGGCTGTTAAGGTACTTCTCCAACAAAAACGCCTGCGGCTGCCAGGGTCCCCTAGAAGAAACCTGCGCAAGCTTATGGGGGGAGCGGGATGCATTAAGAGACCGCCCTTAAGCAGGTGATTGATGAACTCACTACTCTATCGGAAAAGAGTGCAAAGACCTCTAAGCCTTAATTAATCCACCCAGATTATCTCGCCCAGCAGTTCAATGTAGAACAGGTAGCGTTGCTACGGAGGGAGGTTATTTCAGCCGTAGACAACATCCAAAAACAGGGTGTGCGAACACAAGTCCAGTTCGAGGGTTCTGCGACGCGTCCAAGTTGACTTTTAACTACCTGCGCGGATGCCTGCTCAAAGGACTGGCTTGTGGATATAGCCAATAGCCTTCATCCATGGGAGGGTGCCCAGATTAAAGCGGTCGAGAAGAAAGATATTCCCAGGCAGCACGTCTGTGTAGCATATACCCAAGACGATGAAGCTAGTGTTCCTCTCACTAAAGAAACGGTGTTAACCCAATTGGAGGTGATGAACAACTCACTCCAAACATCCGAATGGGCGGTTCTAAATACCACCACATCTGGACCGGGGCAGACGTGGACCTTCGCGGTTGACGAAGTGTCTTTCAAAACCCTGGAAGAACTATGCTGGCGGCCGTACTTTGGATATGGAAGAATTCAGATTCGACTGAAGGGAAAGGGAGTGGAGAATCTCGCACCTACCACTGGGATGACGAAGGCTGTGACAGTCGCCCCGTCGACATCATCAGCTCCCGCGGCAACAAACACCAAGAGCGCAAAAAGAGCGCCAGGTATGAAACCCGGCCGGGGTACATTTTCGCACGTGCCGGGATGTCCAGCAGGGTGAAGGTATCGAAGGTGAAGAAATTCCCTTCCCAACGGAAGTCAAATATTTAGGAGTAATCCTAGACAAAACCTTGTCATGGAATGGATATTTGCAGGGAATTTTGCACAAAGCTAGACTATCCTTGTGGACTTGTCGCAGTCTTTGTGGAAAAAATTGGGGTCTTACCCCTGAAAGACTGTACTGGCTCTATGTGACTGTGGTTAGACCTATGATCACACATGGAGCGGCGGCCCAGGTCGCCTACCCAATATGTAGTAAGTATATGTAAAATTAGCCGTTTTATAACGTGTTAAGTACAAAATTTTTCTCCAATTCCTTTGAAAAAGCAATTTTTGTTCAAAACTTGACTTATTCTATTCGTGACTTTTTCCCCACACTTTCAACCAATAAATCTTGGCTCAGGGACTTTTACCACATGTATAAAAAAATATGTAAACCTTATTTTGGTCCATTCCATAACTGTACCAAGTTTCATCAAAATTGGTGTGCCACAGTTGTGTTACTTCCCTTGTTACTAAATGGTGGCACCAACTTCAACAAGTAATGTTAAAAACTAAAATTATTGGTTACTTTTATAAGATATACTTTCTATAATCTCTAAAAATATTTACTGAATACATTAAATTGGTGCAGTTTGGTTTATAAACTTAAAACTTTAGAAACGATAGATTAAAAACACATTTGTTCAAGAATGGGATTTAAATTAGCAATTTCTTAGGTTGTTATCAAAATATCTTTCTGGAAGAAGTAAAAATTTATCAAAAATGATGAGTAATACTTACTAATAACTAAGTGGTAAGCTTTAAATTTTCCAACGCAACTTGATATGCATGACTCACTTTGCTTTATACCCTAAAATAATTTTTTAAAAATCGTTATAAATTAAATGATAAACTATGTGATCATTTATTTACATCAATAGCATCATTTCCATCATCTTTTCTATCAGCTGTTTTATCATTATCATCCAAAGTTTCTACTGAAGCCAACCCAGCTGCTTGATTTTCCAAGTTGCGTTCTAAATCTTTCTTGTTTTTAGGAAATATTGATACTAAAGGTTTGCAAAGTCTGTCAAAAAGCTTTTGCTTATCACCTTGTTCACTAGCTTTTTCAACTTGAAATTAAAAAAAAAAACATAAGCATTAGGTAAAAACAGCATAAATTTGATTTATACCATCATCAGCCTTTTTTCTTATGGGTAATTTAACTTTAGATTGATTCATTAAAGAATCATCAGGAATTTCCTTTTCCTTGTCATTCTGTGTTAGCAACTCGGTACCTTCTACATCACCCTCTTGAGTTTCTGAATCACCTTCCTAAGAAATAAAAAAAAAGTTGTTAATATGCTTATTGGTAGTTTCATTTTTAACATTAAAAAGCTGTTTTTACCTTGCACTTTTCTTTTGATCGACTCCTCATAAAAAATCCAGGCATTTGAATCCCTCCAATAGGTATTTTTTTTGGTTTAACCTCCATACCATCCTTAAATTCAGTTTTAATTTTAGAGCCTTCAGTACTTTCTGATTCCATCATTTTGTTATCCTGAGCCCTATTCTCTTCATTTAATATCTTCTCCTTTTCCTCACGAGCTATTTCTAATTTATCTTCCGTTTTTTCGCTCTCTTTATTTACTGAACTCATCTCTAATGAGCTAAAATTAAATAAAAAAGCTGTTCTTGGTGAAATGAACAAGACGAAAAAAAAAAAGAAACTCGAGGAACGCTTAAAGGTGGGTTTTAAAACCTTTTGCACGTCTCTCTTGAACTGTTATGAATTAAAACAACTTTATTACTTACTTTTGCCGGTTAAGTGTGTTTGTACCTGCTTTTGTTGTGTAGAAAAAGAATCAATAAACACTAAGAATTAACGGACATCAAACAATAAAAGCTTCTGTATAGGATACCCCCACCACCAACACAACAAAATAAAAAGCTCTACAACAGATTGCACACAGATGTCAACTCAACTATACAATCATTCAAAAAATTAATTTTGAATCTATAAATAATAAATATTTTTAATACGTGGGTATGTTTTTTAAACGTAAATTAAATATTTACTATTTTAAACAATAAAGCTTTGATAGCTATAGTGAGATGAAACATAAATTATATATGAAAGACAGAGATGAAAATATACATAGTATATCGAAATCACATCTATTTTATTATTTTTTTTTTTTACAAAAATGATTATATTAAAACCATACAGTTATTAGATAAATTGATTAAAGATTTCGCTTAATAAATAAATTAAATTTATTATTTTTTTAAAAAATTTAGCTGAAACATGTTTTGGTCGTTAACATGAAATAAAAATATAAATTTTAATGAGTAAGACGAAGATAGAGAGATCTCTGTTTTATCATTTAGTGATTTTAGGTGGAGTTTAGTGATATTAAGGAAAATGAAATTCCCTAAGTTAGTCAACAAGGCGATTGTATTTATATCTCAGATTCCCTAAAAAATGTCGATAAACTTGTTAATATTATTCTCACTTTAATAATATATGTGTACGAGATAAATCTGCGATATCTTTTTAATCAACTTGGAATTATCGAAAACATGAAAAAGTCGTGTAAGTAACATCTCCATTAATTATATTTCTCGTTATTTCTAGTTTCAATTTATATAAATACAATTAAACTTATTTAATAACAGTTTATAAAGAGATAATAATTATTTTAAAGTTAAATAACCACATATTTATACATATGAAATATAAGTTTAGTTTTTTTGTTATTTTTAAGTTGTTTAACCTTAAAAAATTTTAAACATTTAGGTTATGTCGGTTGTCAAATGACAAAAGTGCATAATTTATTTAAACGACGAAATGTACTCTACTCAATCCGATCTTACAATAAAAAAAACACAAAAAGATGTAAATTTAGTTGAACAGATCTTAGAACAAGGTCAGAGGTTAAGGAATTCTATGGTTAAAGCAATTTTAGACAATGACCCAACAAATAATAAATTCTTACAAAAATCTGAACAAATCGACGACTTAGAAATTAGAACAATATGTTCAAGTGATGATAGAAGTGAGGTTACTTTAGAGGAGAAACATAAATTTTTAGCTTACTTACGAGGTGAGCAAATGACAAGAAATGAAGAGAAAAAAGTGTTGGAAACATTTCGGGCAATGTCTAACATAGATCTAATTGATATAACCGATCGATCACTTCATTCTGATTATAGCTGTAACTGTGATACATGTAGAGAATATTATAATCATCATCAAAGCCTGCCTCAAAAGAGTTCAAAGGTTCCATTGCTTAATTTGAAAGATGAAGTGAAATTTAAGCAGAAAAGTAATAAACTAAATTATTTAAAGTACATTGATTCATTAAAAATTAGGGTACACAGTGTTTATTTAAATCAAGAGGGGATTAGAAAAGTTTATGGAAATTCTTACAATAAAAATAAATGTTATAATTATCCCTTAAGTTTAAATCACACATACTTTTTGGAATATAAAATTCCTTCTTTAATATCAAAAGCTACAAAAGCTAAGATTTCTAAAGTCGATTCTGGTTTAGATTCCGGAAATTTTGTCAGAATGTGCTCTAGAAAAGTTCAAGATGAGACAATAATTTTTAAACAAATCTCACTTCATGAAATTCAACACATTGAAAACGTTAATTTACAAACATTAGAAATTAAATTTCAAATTAGCTCAAGAACCCATCGGCAAAAAAGTATAAATGTTCTTGGTACAGCAACATTTAACTTAAACCTTTTATTAGAAAACGAAAATTTTACAGCAAATAATGACTTATTAATTTTCCAAAACGAGGCTCCTATTGTTATTGGAAAATTAAAAATTGGTTTAGAATTTGGTTGTGGGCAATCTTATTTTGGTGAAAATTTTTTAAGAACATTAGATCCTTTGAAAGAAAGAAACCTTGGAGATGACATGAATCATGTTAATACGGAAATATTTAGTGATGATGATGAAGTTTTACCTGAGACGAATCGTTTTGAAGTTGAAAAAGCACCCATAAAAGAAAATGAAACTTTTGGGGTTGGAAATAAAACTGTTCAGATATTACATGAAAATGTGACTGACATAAAAGAAATTGATAGTAGAGTTGTTGTTGATGTAAAGGAGGTGGAAGAGAAAAAGATGACTCAAAATGTAAACATTGGAAACATTTCAATGATTAATTCTAATAGTTATTATGTAAAAAATTAAAGAGTGTATTATTATTTGTAATTCTGATTTGTTTTTTTTTCTAGAACCAAGTTTTATTCGGATTTTTCTTTGTGGGAGAAGCCTGTTTCGAAGAAATTAGGAGTACCTATGTTACCTGTAATCCATTTTGTCAAAATGACACCTTATACAGTCGAGTAATTCCTGAAAGCAAGACACCTCTTTATAATTTTCAACAGGTTAGAACAAATATATATTTAAAATAAAACAAAATACCATATCTTCTTAATAATAGAATATAAGCTACAACTTTGGTATGCTTTAATAGTTGAATTTAAAAAAATAATATAAATACAATTAAAGTATTGTGTGAATCAAACACTATTTTATATTCAGAAATTGTTTACATCTATCATACAGATATTAGTATGCAGATACGTTATATTAAGCATGTCTTTGTTCTCACTCTCTGTTCCATTATTATCATCATGTAGATGTAACAAGTGTTTCATGGAGACATGATTACGTTGCGATGCCTAGCGTCGTTCGCAATATCTGTTGTGTCAAGCTTAGGTATCCTAAGTTAATGTGGTTACCCAACTTTCATTTTCCCCAAAAATTAACCATTATCCTGTAATAAATGAAGATCATCAAGTAATTCAATTATTACGTTTTGTACGCTTTTATAAAGATTATGTTCCTTTTGAAATAGTTACTTTTAAATTAGTTTTTTCATCAACAACATTAATGGCATGACAACCCTCTGTAGGTCTTTGCCTGTAACAGATCGGAATGGCGGAGATGTTGGCTTCCGCCATTCCAATCTGTTACAAGGCATCCTTCTGCAATTAACGATATCAATGGCTTTGGTGTCGTCCTCCACCTGGTCCAGGTATCTTGTCTTGGGTCGCACCCTATGCCTTGTTTCGACGGGAGTTTGTTTTGATATTCTTTTGAGATGTCATCGTCTTTCATTCTCTGAATGCGTTCCATCCGCGCAGGCATCTTTATAAAGGCAGCATCCGGCTCTCTATATGATGAGTAGAGCTCGAAGTTATATCTTCTGCGCCATCTCCATTATCCAATACTTCCCTGTATACAGTATGTCCCCGGATCGAGTTACAAAGAGGAAAAAAAATGTTATTACTGATTTTCAAACTTATTTCAGCATAAATAATGCGTCGGATATGTTCAAACCACTAAATCGCACGAATTTTATACTTTAACTATAGAAGTTAACTAATTATTCCCATTTTTATGTAAAAATTGCACTTTTTTCTAAATTGAAAAATTTTCAAGTTCAATTTATGATATGTAACCATAGAAACCATAAAAGTTATAACTTATGTTAGTGAAAAATATGGCTAAATAATTGAATAAAATGTTTTATCTACAACTATTGAATTATCTATTCGTTATACAATTGATTTTTGACGGGTAATGACACTCATTACCCATGACAGACAAAGTGTTGAATAATGAGGCCATTATTCCACACTTCTGACACTGCCTACTAATCAAAAATAAAATATTAACAGAAATGACAGCTTTCTTATGTTGAGGTTATGTCTGAAATGTCTATCAAGTTTATTTTTTTTTCGTTTTTTTGATTTTTTTTTCAAAATTAAATAGTTGTAGATAAAGTATAGTATTCAACTTGCGTATAATGGATGTTACCCACTCAGATTACAACACTCGCTCGCTTCGCTCGCTCGTGTTGCAACTTCTTCTTCGTGGGTAACAGCCGCCATTATACGCTTGTTGAATAATATACTATTAAATGTTAATGTATGTAATAACACACTATGTAAATTTGTAAGTGAACAAATCAACTATTCAGCACACATTAGAACACAAGTTCTAAATTCTTTGCAAGAATTACGAATTTCCGCCAGTGGTAGAGATTCTATCGCATTAATTATTCTTAGTTTTAATAGTTCTGCATCTCCTGGTAATGGTTCACTGTAAACAATTTGTTTCAATCGTCCCCAAATATAAAAATCCATAATTGTAAGATCAGGACTATGTGCTGGTCATAAAATAGGACCTTTCAGTCACAATGTGTGATGGTGAGCTAGGCAACCGTCTCTCTGAAAGTACATTGACCCTATAAAATTTAAGGGTAATTCATCAAGTTGTTCATTAAAATAATTTTGTAACATATCCAAATGTTCTGTTGATTTACATTTCCGTCGAAGAAATATGGCCCAATTACCCCGTAATATGTTATAGCACACCACAAATTTACTTTTTTGAAATGTTGACTTCGTCTAGAAAGTGTAGAATTTGGATTTACATCACTCTTCTATGGTTACATATCATAAATTGAACTTTTAAAAATTTTTAGTTTAAAAAAAAGGTCAAATTTTTACATAAAAATGGCAATAATTAGTTAACTTCTATAGTTAGAGTATAAAATTCGTGCGATATAGTGGTTTGAACATATCCGACGCATTATTTATGCTGAGATAAGTTTAAAAATTCATTAATAAAATTTTTTTCCTCTTTGTAACTCGATCCGAGGACATACTGTATTTCGTCCCTTTGTGACGAGAAAGCCATACACCAGGTCCGGTCGCATTAGAGTCCTATACAATTGACACTTGATCATAAATATGTATCCTTCTTTTAATCTCTGCACTGGTATCATTCTCGGAGGCAGTACCTGTCTAAGAGAACGAATATGTTGTCAGTAGATGGATTTTTGACTGCAGAAACTGCACCCGTCTACCACCCTTTCCGCGTATGGCTTTATTCTTTCACATACATATAATGTGCGATAGTAATGTATATGCAGAGTTCAAGAGCGGGGTGGTTCTATAATTAGCACATTGGAGATGATCGCCTTTTTTATATATCGGTGCTATAATTTCTTGCTTGAGGGAGCTGCTTTATTTCTCATATATTCTTTATCAGTTCCCGTAAGACCTGCTTCATCTTATGTCCTTTTGCCTTGATTAGTTCCCTGACCAGTGCATATTATGTGCATGGAAATCTATGTTTAGGTGCTTTATCTTTTTATTCACAATGAAACCTGTGTCCAATGCCTCTTCCGTCGGACTATAGAGTACAGTATGGTTCCTGGAAAGATAGTTAACCTCCCGCCCAAGCCCCTTTTTGAAAGACCATTTCTCCCGCTCTCGTTCGCCCTTTCCTTGCTTTCCATAGGGGTTGGCTACCGCATCTCTAGCAGAGTTGCTCAGATTTCCAGAGTTTACCACCTCTTGAGGCCTCTTGAGAATCTTTGACTATGCAATTGTCGTGTGATACGTATGCACCCCTCATTTGAATCTCGAAATGTAACATTAATCAAAGATAATACACAAATATTAAAACACTGGAAAAGTCCCATATTATAAAAAATCATTTATTAACAGCGATACATTGATACATGTATGACGTATCTAACATTTTTAAAGCTTATTTGATCAATCTGACTTCGGGTCTTCTCGCTGATTATGAATAAGGTCCACTCTACTGTAATGTAGACGGGGAAAAACACCACCTCCAGAAATGTAACGTGGACGGGGTAGAAGGAACACCGCCACCAATGTTATGCGGACGGAAAAAGAAGTACGGTTACTTACAGAAAAAGGGGAAAAATTATAGAAGGTATAGAGGGTGGTGACGTAGCCTTTGTGTTGAAATGGAAATAATACGAAACAAGGATAAAAAAATAATATTGATATATTAAATTAAGGGAATTATAATAATAAAAAAATTATGTAAATGAAAATAAAATTGTATAAATAAAAATATAAGAAAAAAGGTAAAAGACAAGCAAATTAAATAAAAATATTAAAATGGAAACTGGATTTAACCAGTAATGACCATAAATAATAGGAAAAGAAAATAATTATAACAATTATTCTTACATTTCTATGTCTCGACAACGTTCTCCATTATAGATTGGATGCTTCGGAAATCTGGCTTCAAGGCACCATAGAAATATGGAGTGAAATATGGAGGGGCCCGACGCTGAATGAACTAATTGAGTTGGTAACGAGGCGACGTTGAAGAAAGTGGGCGACGGGGGATTAGACTGGGAAGAAACGAATGGTGGGATAGGGAATGCAGAGAGGCAAAGAGAGGAGCTAGAAGGAAATTGAGACAGTGGCAGAGAGGACAGGAGAAAATACAAAGAAGAATGCAACAAAAAGAAGAGGGAGCTGAAGGAAAGGGAGGCTGAGAAGGTTAATCCTCTTTCAACTCCTTAATGCTGAGAAGATTAAGGAGTTGAAAGAGGATTATGAGGTATGGAAATACTTAAAGAGGATGAGGAAGGGAAGAGAGGAAGTCAGCAGAGATATACAAATGACTGAATGGAGAACCTACTTCATGGAATTGTTGGGAGGGGTGGAAGAGAGTAGATTGGGAGAGGGAGAGCGAGGGGTGCAGGGAGGAGAAGAGATAACACTGGAAGAAATGGAAGCAGTGTTGAGGGGACTGAAGAGAGGAAGGGCACCAGGAGAGGATGAGATCCAGAATGAGGCATGTTTAGAGGCGACAGAGACAGTGAAGAAGCTATGGAAGGTAATAAACGACGTAGGGATGGGGGAGAGGTTTCCGGACAGGTGGAGGATGGGGATAATATGCCCACTGTATAAAAAGGGGAGTAAAAGGATGGTGAACAATTATAGAGGGATCACCTTGTTCTACACAACTTTCAAAATTTATTCAAAAATACTGCTGTGGAGGTTGGAAGAGGAAATGGAGAGAGGGGAATTGTTGCCGGATGGGCAGGCGGGATTTAGGAAGGGAAGAGGGGCAATTGACAATATATATATTCTGAAATAGCTGGTAGATAGGGAGTTCAACAAGAAGGGGGAAAAGCTGTATGGATTGTTTATTGACCTGAAGACTGCATTCGATAACGTGGATAGAGAGAAGTTGTGGGAGGAAATGAGGAGGAGAGGTATCACAGAACAACTCATAGAAAGGATGAAGGATATGTACAGGGAGACGATGGCCAAGGTTAAAGTGTGGGAAGAGTTAAGTGAGGTATTCTGGACAACAAAGAGATTGAGACAAGGGTGCACGCTTGTTACGGGGGATGGATTGCGCCGAAGAAGAAACAACAGTTGTTGAATAAAACGAAATAATTTATTTACAAAATATGTACAAAAAAAAACCCTCAAAGGTTTTTTTAAGACGAAAGGGGTCGTCTTCGAATTGGCGGTTGAAGTGCTGGCTTGTTGTCGCTGCTGTTGTCGCTGTTATCGTTGTCGCTGTTGTTGTC